GGGGAAGGGTGGGAGAACCGTGAAATGGGCAGTGGTACGTTATCGCTGTTGCTTTAGGCTCAGGAAGAGGTTCTTCAAAAATAATGACACGCAAGGAAGATCATCCGTTTTGCTTCTACGAAGTGATGGGATTTTCTCATCTGTTGAGTGGGAATAATAATTCCTTCATTACAGGGTTTTGTTGAGGGTTAAACAGCCCAGATTCCCAACTTCATCGTGTGCTGGCCGGAGATGTTGTGGCTCGGTTCCTTCACCCACGAGATCACGGAAGTCTGGGGGCCAGACTGCCTGAGTTTTAAATCTCTCGTGCCCCCTCTTCCTAGCGCAATGCGTGGGGCAAGTCACTTAACCACTTTAGCTTCCTTATCTGTGAAATGGGGACGATAATACTTTCTTCGAGTTTCTGTGAGAATTAAAAAGTGCTTAGGGCATCCTTGGCTTAGAGTAAACACTTTGTATATTTTCGGCTTCATCGGATTGTGAAGTTTAAAGAGGTAACGATGTGTTACTGTCAGTGTTGTGGGTGGTGTTAGTCACGAGTTGGCGAGAAATGAGTTAAAATGGGGCCCAGAGGTAGGGATGGGGCTGTCCAGCCTACCTGCAGGGACCACACCTCTAGCCTTCCTGTATCTTCCCTTCCCTGTCTACTGCTGACTTCTTCATGCACGTTGGTGCTAAAAGAAACTGCTTTCTTCTCCCGTTCTTTTGTGTGAGTTCTTGTTGAGTCCCAGGGTGTCAGGGAAATGTGAATAGGGGTGTTTATTAGTTATCTAGTGCCGTATGACAATTAGTTTAAGCTTAGTTGCCTAAAGCCACACATATTTATTATCTTAGATTCTTTGGGTCAAGAGTCTGTGGTGTGGCTTAGTGGGGTCCTCTGTGTCAGGATCTCACGAGGCTCGAGGTATGGTGTCCATCAGGATGAAGTTCTTGTCCAGAGGTTCAACTGGACAAGGATCTAAACCCCTGTGGTTGTTGGAACAATTCAGTTCTTGGAGGCTGTTGGACGGAGGGCCTCAGTTCCTAGCTTGCCATTGGCTCTAAGCCGCCATCATCTGTTCGCCATGCGGACCTCTCCCAACTGGCCACGTGCTCATCAGTGCACACGAGCCAGGAAGGCAGTAGGGAGAGTCGGCTGGCAGTGGAAGTTAAACCTCATGTAACCCAATCAAGGGGCATCCCATCCATCACCTTTGCCATCTTAGGCACAAAAAAAAAAAAGCCACATGTATCAAACTTACACACTTGTTGGCTAGAAGCAAGTCAACGGTTTTCTGTTGCTGCTGTAACAAATTACTGCAAACTTGGTGGCTTAAAACAGTATAGATTCATTATCTTACATTTTCGTAAGATTAGACCTTCAACATGGGGCTGACTGCTAAAATCAAGGTCTCGGCAAGGCAGCATTCCTTTCTGGAAGCTCCAGGGGAGAATCCATTTCCTGGCCTTTTGCTGCTTCTAGAGGCCACCCACATTCCTTAGTTTGTGACCCCCTCCCTCCATCTTCAAAGCCAGCAAAACTGCATCTCTCTGGCCCTTCTGTTATCACCTCTCCCTCTGACTCTGACTTTAACCAGGAAAGATTATTTCAAGGACTCCTCTATAAAGTTGGACCCACCCACACAATGCAGGATAATCTTTCCATCTCAGGGTCCTTATTCTTAACGGCATCTCCAAAGGCCATTCAAATTACAGGTCCTGCCCATGCTCCAGAGGAAGGAGTTAGATAAGGGTGTTAGTCACAGGAGGCAGGGATCACTGGGGAACGGTGGCTTTCTTCCCTTTATAGGAAGTGAGGCATCTGATAAGGCTTTATTAGTCTTCCTCCTTGCCTTTCACCATCCCCCAGGGGTGGGGGATATCAGTGACTCCTGTGGGTCAAGTAGGGTCCCTGACCAAAGAAGCCAACCCTGGCTGACAGAAGGAAGATGTTTTTTGGAGAGCCACTGGGGCCACAGAAGGAATGGAAAGCTGGAGAATTGCCCTTTGAAAAGAGTAAGAACGAAAGGGGCTCCATAACCCAGGAATCCGGGACGATAACTGTGAGGCCCCTAGACCAGGCTGGCCCAGAAATGGCCGGTAGGAGACCGTGATGCACCAGCCACCTCCAGTCCAGTCGATCTGCTCAAAAGTTCACATTCAAGGGAGGCAGCTTAGAACCAGTCGCCTGGCTTTGCGCACACACCCACGGCCTGGCAACATCCCACCTGACCGACCTCAGCGGGGGAGATGAAACTCCTCAGAAGGAAACGGAGGAGTGTTGTTAAGAAAGAGGAAAGGATTCTGAGCCACAAAACTGAATACTCTGCCCTCTCTGTTTCCTCAGCAATAGAAGTTTCTGTGTCAGGGCAGCTACCCGTTTTGACACACATCATCAGCAGTTTAGCGGCTCAACACAATGCAAGTTCTTTTTGGCTCATGAGGCATTCCAGCATGGGCGTATGTGCCCAGTCCTGTGGCCGCTGTGGCTGTGTCATCCTCTAGGGCCTCAGAGTCCTTCACTTGCAGCCAGCGGGTAGGGAAAGCGTGGAGAATCCTGTAGGGGGTGTATGCGGGCCAGGCCCGGGAGTGGCTGCATCACTTGGGTTCACATGAGCTGGTAGTCGTGGCCACGTCGCATGGCAGGGATGACCTGGAAATGTAGTCTGTGTGCCCAGGAAGAGGGTGAAAAGGATTTTGGTGAGCTTAAAGCAAGGGTTTGTTTTCGTAAAGTTTTATTGGAACGCGGCCATGCCCATTTGTTCACATACTGTGAAAGGCTGCTTTCATGCTACAGTGGCCGAGTAGCGACAGCAGTGACCGCATGGCCTGCCAGGCCTAAAACGTGTAACATCTGGCCTTTACAGAAAAAGTCAGCTGGCCCCTACCTAGCATAGAGCAGTCTCTGCAAAAAGCATGATGGTCCCTATTTCTTAGCATCGTGAGATAGACAGCGGATGGAACAGCTGTTAGTATACCCAGAGCGCAGTGGCACAGGTGACCAATCAGAGGTGAGCAATTACAAACCTGTGAGAACCTATTCACCTATTAGTGCTTACGCATTAGGACCGGCCAGCCGTCCGCATAGAAGAGCACCAACTATGATGTTTTTCCTTTCTGTGTAGGTTTTCTGTACTCCCAGGGTTCTTCCCGAGAAGTTAAGACCCCGTTCCTTCAATAGCCTTAGTTGAGTGCCCACCGGGAGCCGGACTTTAGGGAAATGGAGAGAAATGAGACACGTTCTTGTCCCGGAGAAGCTTGCCAGCTAGTCCTGGAGAGACAGACATGTAAGCCATCAGAGTGTTGGCAGGCTTCCCAGAGGGGATCATTTAAGGTGGGCCTCGAAGGTTGGATAGGAGTTTGCCAGAGAGGAGGGATGTTGGAGGCATTCCAGTTAAGGACAACATACGTTCCTGTCTGAATACACATTTATCCCGTGCCCATGGGGAGACTGGTATCGTACCAGGCCCTGAATGTAGGGGTGACCCCAGACAGACGGGGGCCCTGCCCTCACAAGAGTTTACGCTTGGCAGAGAAGACCGTTGTAGAGTCATTCACGTGAGACGTGTGTCACAAAGGACACGTGTGGAAAGCCGTGGGAACCTGTAAGGGAGATGTCTGCATGGTCTCTCTCTTTATAGAAAGTGACTTTATGTATATTTTATTTTTATTATTTTTATCGCTGATTTTTAAAAATCTTTTTTTTTTATTAAAAAAAATTTTTTTTTTCAACGTTTATTTATTTTTGGGATAGAGAGAGACAGAGCATGAACGGGGGAGGGGCAGAGAGAGAGGGAGACACAGAATCGGAAACAGGCTCCAGGCTCTGAGCCATCAGCCCAGAGCCCGACGCGGGGCTCGAACTCACGGACCGCGAGATCGTGACCTGGCTGAAGTCGGACGCTTAACCGACTGCGCCACCCAGGCGCCCCTTAAAAATCTTTTAATATTTTATTTTCATCATGGTCCCCATCTCCTATTTCCCCCATCCCTCCACACCCTTCCCCTCTGGTAACCATCAGTTTGTTCTATTTGAGAGTCTGTTTCTTGGTTTGTCTCCCTCTGTGTCTCATTTTTCCTTTGCTCATTTGCTTTGTTTCTTAAATTCCACATGAGTGAAATCCTATGGTGTTTGTCTTTCTCTGACTGATTTCGCTTAGCATAATACCCTCTAGTTCCATCCATGTTGTTGCAAATGGCAAGATTTCAATTTCTACGGCTGAGTAACATTCATTGAATATGTATATACCGCATCTTCCATGTCCATTCATCAGTCGATGGACACCTGGAATCTTTCCTTAATTTGGCTATTGTAGATAATGTTGGCTATAAACATAGGGGTGCATGTATCCCTTTGAATGAGTGTTTCTTTGTATTTTGGGGTAAATACCCAGTAGTGCAATTACGGGATCATGGGGTAGTTCTGCTTTTAACTTTTTGAGGAACCTCCATACTGTTTTCCAGAGCACGAGTTTGCATTCCCACCAACAGTTTTCAAGGCTTCCTGTTTCTCCAGACCCTCACCAGCATCAGTTGTTTCTTGTGTTTTTGATTTAGTCATTCTGACAGGTGGGAGGCGGAATCTCATTATGGTTTTGATTGGCATTTCCTAATGATGATTGACATTGAACATCTGTTCTTGTGTCTTTGGCCATCTGGATGTCTTCTTTGGAGAAATGTCTGTTGATGTCTCCTGCCCATCTCTTAACTGGGTTTATTTGCTTTTTGAGTGTTGAGTTGCATCGGTTCTTTATATATTTTAGATACTAAGCCTTTATCGGATATGCCATTTGCAAATACCGTCTCCCATTCCGTAGATTGCCTATTAGTATATACATTAAAAATCTCAGTGGGTGACGTTTTCGCTACTGGATATCATCACAGCTCTAGCTCCCCCCTCCCCAGTTTGATTTTATGAAAATCTACAAATGTATGTGTTTGGGCACGCGACACGCTGTTCTGCTCTAACTGTTCTTTCTTCCCGCAGCACCGTCGTCACGACCTGGCCGGCAGAGGGCCCCATGGCCGAGGGCGACCGGGAGCCCCTGGCGAGAGCCGGCACCCTCCGGGAAGCACTCAGGGCACTCCTGCCCCCCACTAAAGAGGAGCTGACGCTGCAGCTCGGGGAGAGGGTGGAGCGCAGCGTGGTGCGGCTGCTGCGGGAAGCGGTCGAGCTGTTCTGCGGCGGCCATGGGGGCGAGTGTCTGCAGGCCAGCGAGGCCATCCTGGACTACTCCTGGGAGAAACTCAACACCGGCCCGTGGCGCGACGTGCACAGAGACTGGCGCCGCGTGTACTCCTTCGGCTGCCTCCTGAAGGCCGTGTGTCTGTGCGAGGAGCCCGGGGACGCCGGCGCCGTGGCCGCAGCCCTGAGAGTCTGCGACATGGGCCTGCTGATGGGGGCGGCCATCCTCGGGGACATCCTCACTAAAGTCGCGGCCATCCTGCAGGCGCACCTCCCCTCGGGAAAGAGGCCCGCCCCGGGCCCGGCCCAGGAGCAGCCCCACGAGAAGGTATCTGGGTGGGATTGCCACCTGCCACACCTCAGGTGCCCCGCCGGTCCTGTTTTTCTAGAAGGAAGGAGTCTGCTCTCCCTGGGGGGTGAGGCCTCGCGGCATGAAAATAGCGTCTCCGTGGATTAGGAAGGGGAGGCGCTTGGCGTGATTTCCGATCCCCCCCCTCCCCCACCCCCCAGTGTCTACATAAGCAGTGCCCTTTCAGGAGAGAGGGAGGTGGACGCGCTGTGGCTCCAGAGAGCAGCAGCCCGGAGGGACGCATGGGCCCACGCCTTCCAGCTTGCTCTTGGTCAGCCCCTGGAAGCGTCACCCCTTTCCTGGCTGCCTTGCTCTCCGTGCCACCGCGTTTGGGCCACGTGCTACATCCAGCCATCTCCCATTCCTGTGACTGCTGGGTGCCGCCCCCAGGGTCCCGCCATGTGGCCTTCCCAGTGTTTAGCGCATGAGGACTACCCTGCAGGGCGGAGGCCAGGCTTCAGGTCCCAGCGCTGACACGCGGACCTCACCATACCTCTAGGCGTGTGGGAAAATGTTCGGCCTCACCTGTGGTTAAAAAAAAAGGCAAGAACAGCGAGGTAACGATGTCTGGCCGTGAAATTGACAAAGGAGGGTTTATGCAATACGGGTGCCACGGAGGATGCCAGGGGGCCAAGGGCAGGGTGCGTGGGTTGACCTTTCAGAGGGCAGGGCAGACATGCAGACCACGGGGGGCAGATGCCAGTGTCCTTTGACCCGGGAGTTTCACTGTTCGCTGCCCTTTCCTACGCCAACTCTGTCCCAAAGGAACACAGAGGTGGCCCCGTGCCCAGGGTGGGGCTCACGGTGCGGGTGGTGGTGGGCAGTGCGTGTAGCCGAGGGGGTGAGAGCTCAGGTCTGGAGTCGGCCTGCCGGGCCACGTTCCCACCAGCTGCCCACCGCCTGTGAGTCGGGCAGGTGTCTTGCCTCCTCTCTGCCCCCTGCGTTCCCATGCCTGTAAGGGGGTGGGGTTTGCTCGGCAGCTTTACGGCACCAGCGGTGGCCTAGATGTGCCAGGCGCCGAGGGCATGATACGTATAGAAGGGCCTGTTCTCCTGGAGTCTGGGTTACAGAGAGGCTGTTACAGAATGTGTTCTCCGTGCGGGGGGGGGGGGGGG